CTGACCGCAGGGCCTTGCCACATGATGAAATACCATACAGAACCACAAGCCTCAGTGGGTAGGGGGACGGGGACTTCCCAGTGTCCCGTGGAGCATGCTTGGATGGCCTGGGGATATCTATGAAAGCCACAGCACACCTGCACTAACACCACTGAAACCTCATGTTCGCATCTGGCCACTTCCCCTTACTAACTCACCTTGCTTCCCGGTGACTTAAACATCATCTCCACCAGAATTCTGATCTGTATTTCTGTCTGTCTCTGACTCTCCCTCCTCGGCAATCTCTTCTCCCTTCCCATCTCTGACGATGCCTTCCTTCAAAGCCTCCTTGCCCAAGGTCACCTTTGCAGTTCTCCACTGAAGAAATACAAGTTTAAGGCCAGCACCCATGGGTGTGCACAAAGGTGACCAGCCCAAGGGGTGCACAGAGGTGGAATGTATTTGGTTCTCATGTGCCAGGCTGGACACCCACATGGCTCCCCAGGTTCCAAGCTCTGGCCCAGATGCATCCCGAGTCACAGGTCCACCCACCAAAACCTACACTAATCATCTCCCCCTGAATGTACCCCCAAGGAACCACGCACTCAAATAGATGCATTTTCTTTCTTCCAAGCCTCCCCTGGTTCTCTCCAGTGTTCCGTGCTCTCACTGCAGGGCTCCATCAGGAAGGCAGAAAGCCAGGAGGAACGTGAGCCATGCCCCTCCCTGGCTTGCCATATCCTGTCTCACGGACTGCACCTCCGCCTCCTCAGCCTCTGCTGTGGACAGGGTGCTTGACCTCATTATTTCTCTTCTCATTTAGTCGCTGCGCCCTGTGCTCACCATCCTGACACCCTTCACTCTGCAGCGCGAGCCAGCTCACTACAACATTCTGATGGCGTCAGCCACTGCTCGGAGCTTTCTGTGGCTTCCTATGGCAAAGAGCTCACGTCTCAAAGGCCACACCCCTGACTTACTCTCCTCTGATCCTTGCCAAGGCCAAGTCCATCAGCTGCCTTGCCTTTGTTCCTGTGGTCACCTCAGACATCTGACACCCAGATAACATTGACTACCCCCTTCCTTGGACTCTCAGATTTCTATTCTAACACTTACCACGCTGATGGGCTTATACAGGATCAATGTCCCTTATCCAAAAAGCTCAGAGACAGAAGTGCTTCATATTTGGGAATTTTTTTTAATTTTGGAATATTTGCATACACATAACATCTTAGGGATGGGACAGAAATGCAGACGTGGAATTCCTTTATGTTTCATATACACCATACATGCAATCAATCTTACACAGTTGTTTTTAGTGTATGTGATGTGACTGTGATTCGTCACGTGAGGCCAGGTGTGGAATTTTTCACTCGTGATATCATGGTAACTCAAAATTCTGGATTTGGAAGCATTTGGGATTTCTAGAGATGCTCAACTCGATTTGTTTCTCTGGCCCTCTTAGAACTGCAGTCTCTGAAAGCAGAGAGAGCCTCTGGTTTGATTATGCATCCCCAGAGCAAACACTGTGACAATTCTCACCCATAAAATGCTAATGGATGTGAGAATAAGCAGATTAGCCAGCACCAGGCTACACAAAGGGAAATGACACTTTTAGCTGGTGACAGTTGCAACAAAAGGGGACAGGACACCTATTATACCCAGGTACCCTCTGGGAAAGAAGAGATTAGGGATTAAGGGAGAAAGAGGAGATAGTGGCCTCCGTATCTGTGGGTTTCAAGGCTGAGGATTCTACCAACGGCAGCTGGAAAAAAAAATCACATCTGTACTGACTGTGGCCAGACTTTTTCTTGTCATTACTTTCCAAACAATACAGCAAAACAACTATTTACATGGCACTGGCATTGCCTTAGATGTTGTGCATCCTCTAGAGATTATTTAAAGTGTACTTCTATATAGGGCTGACATTGTGTCCCAGTGAGGTAAGCTGCTGTTTGCAACACCAGCATCCTGGAGTGCTGCCTGGAGCCCGGGCTGCTCCACTCCTGATCCAACTCCCTGCTGATGCACCTGGGAAGGTAGCAGAAGGTGTCCTAAATACCTGGGTCCCTTGCTCCCACCGCTGCCCCACTGTGGGAGACCAGGATGGAGTTCCAGGCTCCTGGCTTTGGCCTGATCCAGCCCTAACTGTTGTGGCCATTTGGCAAATGAACCAGCAGATGGAAGATCTCTCTGTGTTGCTCCATCTCTGTCACTCTGCCTTTCAAACAAATGAAATATATTTTAAACAAAAATAAAGTACACAGGAGGATGTACATAGATCATATGCAAATGCTACACCATGTTGTAGATGGGAATTAAACATGCATGGGTTTTGGTATTCGTGGGGTCCTGGAACCAATCCCATAAGGGACAATTATATTTGGTAAGAAAAATAGACAAAGACAAGGCTTAGAACAGGGACTCTGTGTCCCGTGAGGAGGGTTTGGGGTGTTGGTGAGCTGGGGTGTTGGTGCTCCTGGGCAGCAATGGTGAATGGTGCTTCCACCTGCCCGTCTGGCAGGTGTGGCCACGAAAGACCCAGCATCGGGGCAGAAAGACTGATGTGCTGGCTGGCAATGAGGCACGGACTCAGTCATTTAAAGGAAAACACGTGCAGTACATATTTTCTATTTATTATATCCAATTAACTGTAAAAGAACAAGCATACATATGTCTAGAAGATGAGACATACTGGAATACTGGGAAAACTGTAGGTGATATCCAGCTCTTGGGCATGGGAACAGTGATTTTTGCTTTTTTTTTTTATTTACTAAGACTTATTTACTTATTTGAAAGACAGAGTGAGAGAGAGAGAGAGAGAGAGAGAGAGAAAACACGCACTTCCATCTGCTGGTTCACTCCCCAAATGGCCACAATTACTAGGACTGGGACAGGTGAAAGCTAGGAGCCAGGAACTCCATCTGGGTTTCCCACATTGGTGGCAGAGGCCAAAGCACTTGGGCCATCTTCCGCTGCTTTCCCAGGCATATTAGCAGGGAGCTGGATTGGAAGTGGAGCGGCCAAGCCACGAATTGGAGCCCCTATGGCCAGTGGTTGCAGGTGGCAGCTTAACCCGCTGTGCCACAACACCAGCCTGATTTTTGCTTTTTATTTGAAACCTGATAGGCACAGAATTTTTTATTCTGAGACTATACTCATGTCTCATTTTTTTTAAAGATGCTGCTGCTGATGTTAGAAAGTCATTTTTCCACCCATGCACCTTTGCAACGGATCCAAATTCTTGACCATCTCAGGATCATTTGGCTTGAATCCCGCATCTCCCAGGTGGAGCAGCACTGAGCACACCCTGTCTGAAACTCCTTAGACAAAGGTGCAAAGCTGCACACGTGTTTGTTCTGAGGAAGTGTAAGACTAGGAGGGCTAGAAATAGTCACACTTCCCCTTTCCTAGAAGCTCTGGTTACCTCCTCCTCTAGAATACCCCTCGAACCCACAAAAGGGCAGCTTGCCAGGAGATAGGAAGAAACCACCTGACGGCTGCTGCCTTTGTCTCCCAAAGCAGCAGCTGCCTCTCTTGTCAGCAGGAGCCCTTCTAGTGCAGGTTCATGATCATAAACTACACTAATGATCCCGCAGTCCCTCTGGGGTGGGGAGAGGAGGCCACAAAGTCAAGGGAGGCACAGGCTAGCAGGTGCATGTCGGTCGAACTCCACGTCTGCCTTGGCCCACTTGTCTGCGATCCCAGGCAAATCTAATTCCCCTGTGCTGATCATGTATCCCATCAGGTAAACAACAGAAGCAAACGATTTTTACTACTTAAATGCAAAGCCAGGAAGTGGATGCTTCAGGGCTGGACTGCTGGCTTCCCGCGGGCCCCTGTCCTCAGGCGCACACTGCCCTGCTGCTTATCTCAACTTCTTTTCCAGAGCCGGGGAAGCTGGTCAAACTAGATCTGATCTCACCACCGGTGGGCCTCATGCACCACCATGACGAAACAGAGAGGGAACGCACTGTCATCGATCTAATGACAAACCACGGCACCTGAAACCTGCAGCTGTTTGGTGGTTTTTGTCAAACCAGCACCACTTCCTATAGCCTCTTTAAAAGCCCCCAAACACCTACCTGCAGCAGGGCAGGAGTCCTATGTCCTCATCTGCTCTCTTTCCTTTACCCCCAAACCTTGTCCTTATTATTTTGATTGGTACCAGGGACAGGGCTCGAACTTTAGGTAACAATCCTTGCAGTTCCCTCATGGCAATGACCTCAAGGGGTCTGGAAGTCCACACCCAGGGCTCTCGGCTATCTGCCCTGCCCTGCCCAGAACCATAGCTCTACTATGTTCCCACTCACTGCTTACAGGACCTGCTACCCCGTGCATCTTCCTTTCATAAACCTTCTCCAGCCCACGTCTTGGAATCCCGGAGTCATGGAGAGGGCCCAGGGAGTCCTCAGTAACTGGGGGGCACTGAGGCGCAGACCCGCACAATTAGTAAAAGCACACAGAACCTGAGCCACCTGCTGGGATAAATAATCCAGATGCAGCCCCAGCGTTTCCTATAGAACTTTCTGAGAGACACCAGCCAGGGAGGTACTTCACGGAAGAGAAAAAGATGTGCTGGGGAAATGAGGAAAACCCCTCACTGACAAGCCCTGCTTTGGAGCTTCAGTGTCAGTAAGATTTTCCAAGCTCCAAGGAATCACACAGAAGCTTAACCCATTGAGCTGGACACCAACCAAGCTGGTGACCACAGAATCTGTTCAGATCTCTCTTGGAAAACACAGCCCTAGACCACGAGGCTGCATTCCAGGAAGATGCCCAGGGTGCCTGTGCGATTCTGAGGATGACCCGAACCTGAAGACAGCCCCAGAACTACAGATCTACATCTGGAATCCCCCACTCCCCCTGGTCCAGCACCGTGGGAACAGCAAAACTCTACTGCAGCCGCTGCACACAGATCTATAGAGCAGAAGCCCCCACGCGAGGGGCGGGCCCTCCAGAGACAGACGCAGGAGTGAGGGGTGGGTATGCTGGTGCGGGAGGCACCTGTGGGCGGGACTCACCGTTGGTGGCTGTGTTGACATAGTAACGGCGTCCCTGTGGAGACAGGTAGCTCTGCCAGCCAGGTGGGAGGACGACCGTCTGGCTTTCCTCTCCCGGCGGAGGAGGGACCATCCCAGGCTTCTGTGGGAAAGGGGAGAGAAGGTCACACATACATGCAGCAGTTCTGCAGCTATCTTCCCAACCCGGAGGTCAGGGTTGATGACGTCACTCTGGAATAGGTGGACACAGGGAGTGTGTGGCCCACAGGCCTCCCTGGGCTGGATCACAGGGAGCACCTGGGATCTCAGGGACTGCAGGAGCTGGAGGGGTGGTGGAGGAGAGAGTTTGTGTGCATCAGAGCCACTGCAGAAGGGACCACTTTCCCCAGGAGCACAGAGGGCAACGGACCGGGCCTCGTCTCCTCATCCGTCACCTGCAAAATCCCTCCCAGGGATGCTTGCCCGCTGCGGGGACCCTGTCACTCCACAAGCTCCCGCTGTGGAACCTAAAGGTTACATCCACAGGACCGCTGACTGCCACGGCCGATGAACCTGTTATGCAAACCTAGCCAAAGTGGTCCATGCAAGCCGCAGCAGAGCGAGACATAAAACATTCAATAATGATGCCGAGACCTGTGAAACACGGGATGGAAGGTTTTCTCACCCAGGATCCAAATCACTCCAGGAAGGGAGACAGACAGGGACTCTGCAACAGACAGACCTGCCTTTTTACCATCTGCCATTACACACTGTCTAATGCTTTTCACGATGCACGCAGGATTACTTTTCTTAAAAAAACATCAGAGAAACACAGGTAAGACAGAGAGAAATTAGACACAGAGCACACACAGATGCTAAAACAGCAACATCTGGGATCCCCTGCTGCTGCTGCGATTATTGGGTAATGTTTATTGTCTTCTATTGACTTAGGCGTTCTGGCTAAATTTTTTCTCCTAAACACAAAAATGAATGGTGTTACCTACGGGATGTTTAAAAATGAGGACAGCAGGTCCAAATTAATCCACACGATGGCTGCGCCTCTCAAACAAAGTGAACTGACCCACACCAGAATGCTAGCATGGAGGGGTCAGAGGAGTTGTGAATTACTCAAGCCAAGCCAGAGCCTGGTCAGAAACATAAAAGCCGAGGTAATCGGCTCCGAGACTCAGCATCGCCCCCGGCCTGGCCACTGCTGACCTTTGTTCAGGAACACGAGGTAACAGACTGAAAGGGGAGGGTTGCAGGCTGCTCTCCCGCTCTGTGGAGGCTGCAGAGCCACAAGTGCATGCCTCCTGCTCTGGCCTGCGTGCCTGCCATCAGGAAAGCCACGGTTCCCACCACTTCTAGTAGCAGTTCCTCTCCTGCTGTCTGTAGCGGCGGTGCACTGTCCGTTGTGAAATCTTATGACTTAATGACCTGAGTGTGTGTGTGTGTGTGTCGAAGTACCCCATGTACACGAGGTTATATTTTAGTCAAGGGGGCTGGGAGTAAAATATGCATGGGAGGTGAAAGGGCAGGGAGTGTGACTGAGTGTTTGACCTAAGAGAAATCCACTACCTCTCGGGGTGCTAACATTTCAGGTCCCATGTCAGGGTGGCTAGTCTGAATCTCAGCTCTGGCTCTTCCTTCCAGCTTCCTGCTAATGCAGACCCTCAGGAGGTCTGCAATGATAGCTGGGTCTTTGCAACTCACATGGGAGATCTAGATTGAGTTTCCGACTCCTGTCTCCAACTCCAGCCCTGCCCTGGACATGGTAAGCATGTGAAGAGTGAACGAGAGGGTGGCATCTGTGTGTGTCTCTCTCTCTACCTCTCACATAAAATATGTATGTTGTGGGATTCCTAGGATGGGGAAGATATGGACGCTTGTCCAAATAATTGGCGGGGGCGGGGGGGGCGGTTAGGAATGGGAAGTTCTTACTTAAAAGGTACGGGGCAAAGTCGAATTGGACAGAAATGGACAGCAGAGAAAGGGACACAGGGGCAGTGGGAACAGCTCTCAGACCTCAGGCTCAGCAGCTGTGTCAGTGTGACCCTGACTTGGCCAAGCAACAGCCATGTGACCCCAGGCCAATGACTCCACCAAGCTATTTTGGCATCTACAAGAGGAAGAATGATAACATCAGCCCTGCTGTGGGAGATGTTGGGGGAGACTAACAACGGCACACTGGGCAGCTGGCAGAAGGTCAGCACCAGGAATGCTCCCCAGATGGGTGCTCCCAATGGAGAGGGGCCGAAAGAGACCAAGCTTCCCCCAGGACCTGCCTACTGCACTGTGAAGCTCATGAGACTGCACCACTTCCACCCCAACACCACCACGTGGGGGATGTCACCATCCTCTGAGGTTTCTGTTTCCAAGATTACTTTCATGTAAAAGGCCAATGCTTGTGGACACTGACCGAGGCCTCCTCTTGAGAAGCTGGGCAGCGAGGGACCACAGCTTTCAGAGGGTGAAGAGCAGGTGGATGACCCATCGGACCCGCAATGCGCCACTTACAGAAGAGCCGTGAGGGCACCTGTCCCTCCTCCAAGGCAGCACAGCACTTCTCTCTTTAGCATGTCAGGGACTGCATAAGACAGGAAGGAAGGAAGCACCCTGCAGGGCCTCGGTCAGCAACAGTATGCGGTATGAGTCTACCCAATAATTAAGGTCTCTCCCCAACTCATTCTTCAATTTAGTTGCCATCCTAGATAAACCCTTCCCTTGCCTTCCTTAGTCCTGTGGCTTTTCTCCTTCAAGTCTCTCAGCTCTTTCCCATGGGAACAGGAACTGAAGGCAGAGATGACACAGCCCTACCTACAGGGAACCTAGATAAACCAGGGTGCCGTGGTGGGGAGAGGAAGGTGACTTCCTCCAACTCAGAAATGCACTGGATGTTTTCTGGCAGTTATAGAATGGCACCTGAAAGAGCCACCCTCATCAGCCAGGGTGCAAGGCGGGGTTTCTGCCCTTACTTTCCTCTCTGATTTGTTCAGTAAACTGTCTGCTTCAGTGGGTGTTGGGTGCAGCAGTTAAGATGTCACTTGGAATGCCTTCATTCCATATCAGAGTCCCTGAGTTCGAGTCCCAACTCCCTTGCTTCCAATCCAGCTCCCTGATAATATGCACCATGGGAGAAAGCAGGTGCTGGCTCAAGTATGTGGGCTTCTGCTACCCACATGGGAGACCTGGACTGAGTTCCAGGCTCCTGGATTGGACCTGGACCAGCCCAGCTGTTGCAGATATTTGAGGAGTGACCAGTGAGATCTCTCTCTCTGCCTTCCAAATAAATAAATACATAAAAGTTTAAATATGGGCTGCTTAAGAGTCCAAGAGGGCTTTAAAAAGTTCAGGGGAAAAAATAAGATTAAAAGGTCAGTTTATTTGGGTGCAAAAAAATTTTGAAATCTACGTATGTAAGGGGTCTTCAAAAAGTTTGGTGCAAATTGCTTATTATGAAAACACTATGTGTAGATGTCAAATATTTTGCACTGAAATAAGCTTAGTCTTTCAATTCTGCTTTCTATGAACTTTTTGAATGTGAAAGACCATCCTCTAAGGATAGGAAGAGATGTAGGTGCCTTCTGCCTCCTGCAATGGGTGCAGGGTCTGTCCGTGTTGCAGCACAGATGAGCACGCTACTCCTCTCTGCTTCTGAAGAACAGGCCACTGCTCAGACACGAGACCCAGACTTTGCTTCTCCCTTTATCAATGGTTGACGTTTGATTGCTTCCACTCTTTGGCTATCATGAAAAACACTGCCACGAACGAACGTTCCCCTACAAGTTTCGGTACCTCCCCCTTCTTCACATACACTATCAAAAGGTTTCTAGGCCATCTCAGAACCCTAGTCTAATAGGCTCTCAAGGCACAGCTGAGCTCAGATCCCACTTGCACCATCAATTGTGACTTCTACCCTCAACAAATGTTTCCAGTACACCATGGACTGGGCCAGGTGCCTTACACAATGATCTAATCATTACACAAGCCTGTTTCACAGATGTCATTTATTCTCATTTTAAAATGAGAAATCTGGAATTTAGAAGATTCAGTAACTTGTCCTATATTGCACAGCTAATTAAACGGCGAAACCAAATTATGTAAAAATATTCATTTTGTTCTATTCATTTTGTTCTAGTGACTCTTATCTCATTACCTAAAGTCGGGCTCCCCTAAGTGCACTTTTCCTGACCTATCCAGAATCAATTTCATTTGTTCACTGGGACCTCCCCCGCCCCCAAAAAAAAGGGGCTGACAACTAACTCAGGCCTGACTCTCCTGCCTGTCTCACGGTCTCCCAATGAACATATGCCTTCCTGGGAGATGTGCAAAAATATCACCACCCTCATGCAAGCCGTCACGTTCCCCAGCTGCAGGCTGACTTCCTTGCATTCTTATATAAAACACAAGCCCCCCCCCCATCTCCTTTTAATGGTGGCTACTGATTTCCCCTGGGAAAATAAGCAGGCAAGTAAAGAGGAGTCATCCAGAGATCAAAAGCAGAGCCCCTCTAGCAGTTTCTGGAAGCACAGACACCCCAAGACACCCCTCAGTCACAGGATGTGGCTCAAAATGCACACTCCCAGGCCCTGATGCCACCACCCAATCACCCCGGGACCCGGGAGTCTGCATTTTAACAAGTCTCCTGGGTGAGTCCTACATTCAATGATTCAGTAGAAAACATCACTTCTGAAATAATACCAGGAGCATAAAATTTTAATAAGCACAATTTGTAAAAAGCCAGTGCTGAGCTGCATGGTTACTGATTAAAGGGAACACTCCCGTCCCCCAGCCCCGAACCCTTCACAGGAGACTCCAGGTTCTGTCTGCAGGCAGTCCCCAGCCCTCTACTCAGCTCCCCACAGCCTCTGCCACTCTTCAAACTCAAGTTCAGCCCAGGACGCCAATCACTCCACCTGCGGGACTCTGCTGGGAGCACCTGCTTCTTACCTTCTCCGGAAGCAGCAGCAAGCAAATGCCACTGGCAGGTGCCAGCGGGGTCTTGTCGGACACTTGACTGAGCCGGCGGATCAGAGTCTGAAGGGCCCCCGCTCTGCGTCCTCTCACACCCCAAGCCCAGACACAAGAGGAGCTCAACAGAAAGGCTTATCCAGAGGGCCCCACACCCCTCTCCCCCACACCCAGATCTATATATAACATCTC